AAATAAATAAATAAATAAATAAATAAATAAATAAATAAATAAATAAATAAATAAATAAATAAATAAATAAATAATATTCTCAAATTTAAACTTGCCTTCTTGGGAGTTCATATTAGTCAATTTATGTAATGCATTAATCAAATCTTCTTTTGCACTCTTGCCGTTCGCTTTCGTTGACATGTACAAAACATCTGCCCATCATCGATGATAAAAAAATGGATAGCCGTAAATATCATGATTAATATATATATACATACATATACATACATTCACGTATATATATATATATTATGTGGAAAGAGTCACGAAGAAGAATGAAGAAGAATGAAGAAGATTAAAGAATAAAAGAAGAAGAGGAGCACCCAAGTTAAAGACTAACATCTATCTTCAGGGCATGTTTGTGTTCCAGCCGATAATTGAAGTACTCTTATCGGATATTTGTTGTTATTCACCGTGTTTGGTGGAAAAATAGTTAGAGTGGCATCAGCGTTTTCTTCATGCACAAATTTATCTATGATCACTATTGCACGTGAGGTTTGTTCACTAGTATTAGAATGTGGATTAAAAGTATAGAATGTATATTATTAAAAAGTATTATTAAAGAGTATAAGAATGTATATTAATAAAAAGTATTTATTAAAAGTATACCATCGAAGATCATCATCACCGTCTTTTATGAATTTTGTGGGTAAGTAATCAATAGCTGTAACTAGGAAAGTGGATGACAATTGTTGATCATTGATATCCACCAATCCCAAAAATTTATTAGATTTCCTATCTATTAAAATATGGTTTACTGAATGGTCAAGCATATAAATGCCTCCGTATACTGCACAAACCCTTTAGAAAAAAAAAATGAAGAAAAAAAATATTAAATTAAAAGTTTTCGATTAAAGATTTAAAGATTTAACGATTTGAAGATTTGGGGGTTGCAAAATAGTAATAATAATGATAATAATAATAATAATAATAATTTGATTTAATTTAATTTTATGGATATCTCTGACCATATATATCATCATACCTACAAAATCCTTGCGCAATTTCACTACCCCCTCCATAAAGACCGACCAAAAATGGTGCATTACCATATCGACCAAGAGACTTGAGATATCTTTGAGTCTTTTCTAAACCTTGCATTGTATTAACTTTCATACATAAATGATAATAAATATTCTATATATACAATATATTTTTTTTTTTCATATATGTACATATTTTTATATATTCCTTTTTTTAATAAATAAAAATATCAACCATGAATATTCACATACAAACCATTAGATTCATCATTTTGAATTAACGTAATTGCATACAAAATTGCTGATAATAAATTTCCTTCGATTTTGAATTTCTCTTTAAGAAAAGTTGAATATAATTTATCTTCAAAACCTAAACGTATACATAATATATATATATGAAAGTATTACAATTATTTGAATATTTAATATATATATTTTAATTTTAAATTTAATGTTAATACCTGAAAAGATTTCTGGAGAATTTGTGTAATCTATAGCAAAAGTCAAAAATCTCATCAATTTTCTCTTTTCAATCAATGATATGGTTTGACTAGTAAAAACATCTTCTTTAGAACAAGGAACCTATAATATTAAGTTAGATAAATTTTTAAATAAATTAGGGCATAATTTATGATGATAATAATTATAAAGTATGATAAAGTATAATACTTTAAATAATGTATGATAAAGTATGATAAAGTATAATACTTTAAATAATGTATGATAAAGTATGATAAAGTATAATACTTTAAATAATGTATGATAAAGTATAATACTTTAAATAATGTATGATAAAGTATAATACTTTAAATAATGTATGATAAAGTATAATAC